TGGAGGTTGCTGTGAGCTGTAATGCCACGGCACTCTACCCAGGGGGATAGCTTGAGGCTCTGTCTCAAAAAAAAAAATTGAGTTACTTTATTCTTGCAAAAGGAGTACCACTGGCATGATGAGGGATGGGGAAACAGGTGGTCTGCGGACAGCTCAGACATGTGGGCAGAAGTCCCTGGGTTAGTTAGCAGACGGCCTTTTGCTGGGCTTCTCAGTATGTGGTGCCCAAAGTCCACATTTTACATGTGAAAATGAGTGCTTCAACTTAGTGAGAGTCGGCTTCAGAAACATTTACTGTATGTCTTAAAGTAAGTACAAGCTGGCTTTTAAGTAAAGGCTTCCTGTAGTTTATTGTTTTTTTAGTGGAAAATCTAAAGGCTCAGTGTCATCCCTAATAAGAATAGAAACCCAGGGGTGGCACCTGTGGCTCAATGGATAGGGCCCTGGCCCCATATACTGAGGGTGGCACGTTCAAACCCAGCCCCGGCCAAACTGCAACAGAAAAATAGCCAGGCATTCTGGCAGGTGCCTGCAGCTACTCAGGAGGCTGAGGCAGGAGAATTGCCTAAGCCCTGGATTTAGAGGTTGCTTTGAGCTGTGTGACGCCACCACACTCTACGGAGGGCAATAAAGTGAAACTGTCTCTACAAAAAAAAAACAAAACAAAAAACCTGAGGTCTCAGAAAAGATGTTAATTAAGCTTAACTTCACAAAGTTTAAAAAGAGTACTTCCATCTTCCTGGGTGGGGTTTTATGTTGAATTATAATTCATGGAGTCCAAATTAAGAGAAGGTCTCCAACTTGGACCAGTTACTCTTTTATGTAGGAAAACTTGTTCCATGATAAAGCCTGGCCCCAACCAACTATCTTGAATGAGCAGACTGGACTCTAAAGGGTCTTTGTGCGAGTTCATCCCAGCCCTGCAGCACTCCTGGGAGATAGTTGGAAATGGATAATTAGTGAATGTTAATTTTTGCCCCATCCTGTGAGGGCAGTGCGTCCTGTATGAACTTTGAGACTGGACTCACAGACCACATGGCTTGGTTTGGATTTGGCCTCAGTAGAACTCACTGGCCTTTAACTGGGACTTGGATGACTGTCTGCTTTGACTCAGTCTCTGGCTGTTCTGCTGTTTATCATTTTACACTTAACCTTCATATTTATTATAAAATGCAGCCTTGTTCCAGGAATCCTACCATCTCAGATTTAGAAGGACTGCCTTCTGTTTACAAAGCACTATGTTTAAGGTGTACTTTGGTTCATTTTGGTTATTTTGCTTGCCAGATTTAATGGAAATACTGAATGTTGTATAATAGAGTTTTCTTAGCTTTTTAAGTAAATGGATTTTAATGTCATAAAAAGATACCAGTAAGTAGGAAACAAGCCAGGGGTGCCTTGAGAAACTTTTATGTTGTATTCATTAATGTTTTGCTTTTGATTTGTTTTCTTTGATTTATATTCTGCTTATCTAATTTCCGTTTTTTCTTTTTCAGTGATGATCACATAAAATTTTTCTGCTTTCAAGTACTAGAACATCAAGTTAAATACAAGTAAGGCTTTTCTCACTGTATTGACCGAGGTTTGTGCGGAGAGGCCATCTTTTCATTTACTTTAAGTTGTATCCAGGTTATGGATTAGTGTTGCTGTATCCCAAAATCATGGATGCATTTCCTTGAAAAATCACATAGCTTTCATTTTGTTTCAACATGAGCAGAACCTCAAGTCAAACAAGGATTGATAGTGATTTCACACTTGCTGCTCTCACCCTTGTCTCTAAAGCAGTGAGGAGAGAGGCATCAGTTAGTTTTGGGGGATGGAGAGCTATGCAAATTTCCCTTTCAGACACAACCATGGACACCAAATACAGCCATTTTCCTTTTTTTTCTCTATTTTGAACAGATACTCAGAACTAACCACTGTTCAGCAACAGCTGATTAGGGAGACGCTCATATCCTGGCTTCAAGCGCAGGTAAAAATAGTAATTTCATTCAGTACCCCCAATGACCAGATATTTAAACTCATGTTTTTGCAAGAGTTTGCAAGCTTATTGCAAAGGTTTAATCATTTATCCTCTATTTGATCCTATAGCTTTTTTTAAAGGTGTTTTTTTGGTTGTTTTTGTTTTCTTAGAGAGTCTTATTTTGTCACTCTGGATAGAGTGCTGTGGCATCATACTTGACAGCAACCTCAAACCCTTGGGCTCAAGTGATCCACTTGTCTATAGCTTTGACTATAGGCCACCTGCCACAACGCCTAGCTATTTTTGGAGACAGAGTCTGGCTCTAGCTCAAGCTGGTCTCAAACGCCTGAGCTCTGATGACCCACCCGCCTCCCAGAGGGTTGGGATTATAGGTGTGAGCCACTGCATTCAGCTTTAAAGGTGGTTTTGAAGATCATGGGTAGATAGAAACTTATCAATAATTTAAAATTATATCAATAGAAACCTGTTATATGTCCCATGAGACATTATAGAAACTTTGGTTTTAAGATTAATTTGAGTTTTTTGTTGTTGTTGTTGTTGTTATTGTTTGTTTTTTTTGAGGTAGAGTCTCACTTTTGTCTCCCTGAGTAGAGTGCTGTGACATCATACCTCACAGCAACCTCAAACTCTTGGGATCAAATGTTCCTCTTCCCTCAGCCTTCCAAGTAGCTGGGACTACTGCCAACCATCACAACTCTCAGCTATTTTTTAGAGACAGGGTCTCACTCTGGCTCAGTCTAGTCTTGAACTCTTGAGCTCAAGCAGTCCACCTGCCTCAGCCTCCCAGAATGCTAGTATAGCGTGAGCCACGGCACCTGGCCATTAATTTGGTTTTTTAACTACTTGACAAAAGCAGCTTTTCTGTTTGGCTCTTAAAGGTAGACCCTTCTGAATAGCCTCTTTATAAGATCCCTTTTCAAAGGGCCTGTGGAGTTCTCTGTTCAACACCCACATGTTCTTTTGGGTTAAATTTAGCTAATCTTAATATATAAAGTAGTTGCATAGCTGGAGTTTTTATTTTTGTTTAAGAGCAAGCAAATAGAAGAAAAATAATCTTTTTTTCTTAGAAGAAGTGGTAGGAACTAGTAAAATGCTGCCCATGACTGGGCATGGTGGCTCAAACCCTTAATCTCAGCACTCTGGGAGGCTGAGCTGGATAGATCACTGGAGCTCAGGTGTTCAAGACCAGCCTGACCAAAGGCAAGACCTCATCTCTACTAAAAATAGAAAAACTGACCTGGCATTTTAGGCATCTGTAGTCCCAGCTACTCAGGAGGCTAAGGCAGGGGGATCGTTTGAGCCCAGGAGTTTGAGGTTGCTGTGAGCTGTGACGCCACAGCACTCCACCAGGGTGACAGTAGAACTCTGTCTCCAAAAAACCAAACAAATCGCTGCCTGTGAAACTTCACTGTGAGGGTGAAGAGTGAGGAGTGCTGGCTGTGGTGACCTGTGTTCTTGTTCTGGCTGGTCACTTAAGTGCTGGGATGATTTGAAGCATGTTTGTTGCACAGCTAGTCTGGACCCTGTACAGTCAGGTGGGGTTTTGCCTTTTAATGACAATGTGTTTCTGAGTGTTTTCAGTGCGTTGAGTTTCATGGACTGTTTCTGTTTGTCAGATGCTGAACCCCCAACCAGAGAAGACCTTTATACGGAATAAAGCAGCCCAAGTCTTCGCCTTGCTTTTTGTTACAGAATATCTCACAAAATGGCCCAAGTTTTTTTTTGACATTCTCTCAGTAGTGGACCTGAATCCGAGGGGAGTAGATCTGTACCTCCGAGTCCTCATGGCCATCGACTCCGAGCTGGTGGACCGGGATGTCGTGCACACGTCAGAGGCAAGTCGGGAGGGAGCCCCCGGCTTCAGGTGGCTGTGTGGGTGTGAGGCAGTAGGTGTAAGAAAAGGAGCAAGAAATCTTTTTTTTTTTTTTTGAGACGGAGCCTCAAGCTATCCCCCTGGGAAGAGTGCCATGGCATCACGCTCACAGCAACCTCCAACTCCTGGGCTCAAGCGAGTCTCCTACCTCAGCCTCCCAAGTAGCTGGGACTACAGGCACCCGCCACAATGCCAGGCCATTTTTTGGTTGCAGCCATCATAGTTGTTTGGCAGGCCTGGGCTGGGGATTCGAACCCACCACCTTAGGTATATGTGGCTGACGCCTTAGCCGCTTGAGCCACAGGCGCCGAGCCGAAATCCTTTTATTTTTGAGGTAAACTTCCTTAGTGATTATTAAGTTACTCAATGTTCTGAATTTTGTTTTATAAAGGAACTTAATTTTTTTCCAATAAAGGTTGGAAGTAAAGTACTGGATTCTTTTTAACTAGGCGATACTTTCTCCAGTGAAATACATTAACTTGTTTTCTCCTAAGCGTTTGTTGAGAATGCCGTTTGTACTAAATGCCGCTGTGTGGTCCCTGGAGAAGGAGAAGCATTGCGTGTGAAGGATCAGTGCTGGCTGCTTCTGTCTTCTCATCACATAGTTAGTTTAAGTACTTTTGTTGTTGGTGTTGGAGTTTGGCCGGGGCCAGGTTTGAACCTGCCACCCTTAGTATATGGGGCCGGCACCTTACTCACTGGAGCCGTAGGTGTTGCCCATACTTTAAGTATTCTATTTACGTAATGACAAATAATTTTTCACATCCTTAAGATTTTTTTTTTTTTAACTGAGGCAATAGTCTCACTCTGTCACTCAGGCTGGAGTGCAGTGGTATCATCATTGCTCACTGAAACCTCAGACTCGTGGGCTCAAATCATCCTCCTGTCTTAGTCTCCCAAGACAGCAGGACTGCAGGCATGCATCAGTACACTGGGCTTTTATTTTTTGTAGAGATGGAGTCTTGCTCTTGCCCAGGCTGATCTCAAACTCTTGGCCTCAAGCAGTCTATCTGCCTTGGCCTCCCCAAGTGCCAGGATTACAGGCACGAGCCACAGCACCCAGCAAATGCTTAAACTTCCTCAGGAATGCCTATTTGTAGTTTGTATTTAAGAAGAAATTACACAAAGAGGAAATAGAGAGGAAATAGAGGGAATCCCAGGATATGATTTTAAAGCCGTTAAATAGGAAATATTGGTAGGGGATGTGCTGACAGGTCTGGAGGCCTCATGTTGAGGAAATCACTGTGTGCACCTGTGTTCACGTGGAGCCTTTGTGTTGTGAGAATACGCTGTGTGTTGGTTTTGGGAGGTTATCCATCTCCTATGTTTTGTTTTGTTTTGTTTTTAGGAGGCTCGTAGGAATACTCTCATAAAAGATACCATGAGAGAACAATGCATTCCAAATCTAGTGGAATCGTGGTACCAAATATTACAAAATTATCAGTATACTAATTCAGAAGTGACCTGTCAGTGCCTTGAAGTAGTTGGGGCTTATGTCTCCTGGATAGACTTGTCTCTGATAGCCAATGATAGGTGAGTATGCTTGGAATTCCTGCCGAGTATAAACTTGTAAAACGCAGTGTCTGAAATGCATGAGTTTGAAACTGTCTTAATAATTTTATTCCCCCATTACCCCAGGTTTATAAATATGCTGCTAGGTCATATGTCAATAGAAGTTCTACGGGAAGAAGCATGTGACTGTTTATTTGAAATTGTAAATAAAGGAATGGACCCTGTTGATAAAATGAAACTAGTAGAATCTTTGTGTCAAGTGTTACAGTCTGCTGGATTTTTCAGCATTGACCAGGTCAGTAAATTTCTATATAAAAAGTTGTGAAAATTATTAGAACAAACTAGAATAGGTAGTAAGTTAAATATAATGTTTAGTAGCCTTTTTTTCTTTTTTTCCCTCCCTAAATGTTAGAAACTCTCTTTGAGGTTATAACAATGAGCACGTGTCTCTGGAAAGCCGTGGTTCTCAGGACCATTTGCCGTGGAGACTAGAGTGCACTAGTTCTTAAACTTGAGGGTCTGGAGGGAGGTCGCAGATGTGGGTTTCTTAGAAGCTCCTAGATGATACTGACACTGTTCATCTGTGGACCATATATGGAATAGCAAAGGACCTGACTGTTTAAACAAATGGCAGTGCGTTTTGGCCAAACTTAGACTCAGGAATCATAAATGTTGCACGTCCATCATACTTTTAAGTCTTTACACTTTTGAGCTGTTAACAATTTAACCCCGGGCGAGTGAGCGCTCAAAGTTTGGTAAACTAGTAATTTAGAAAGATAACTTCAAGGTTTTAATTTTAATTTTTATTATGACAGAGATAAAGAATTTCTAAGACATATTTGCATTACTGCTCTGTTGGTAATATGGCTTTAATGTTTTTCTTGGTCAATTGTAGCATTATCTTAGTTTTGTTTTTTGAGACAGTCTCACTATGTCGCCCTTCGTAGAGTGTCATGGCATCACAGCTCACTGCAGCCTCAAACTCTTCGGCTTAAGTGATAGTCTTGCCTCAGCCTCCCAAGTAGCTGGGACTATAGGCACCTGCCACAACGCCCGGCTATTTTTTGGTTGTTGTTGCAGTTGTCATTGTTTGTTTAGCTGGCCTGTAGCATTATCTCAGATTTCTAATGTCTGTCTTAATTACTGGTAAAAGATGTGAATAAATGGTGGCATACTGCAGGGGATTAGCATAAGGGTAATTAACAGAAATAATCTGAGTTTGAGTTTTGATTCCAACACTGGTAAGACCTAGGGCAGGTAATTGTGATGGCAGATCTATGTCCTTGCAGGATAGTAGAGGCACAAATTATACAGCACTGAAAGGACTGTGTGAATTTTTTTTTTATACCAAACTGTAAATTCTTTTATTAACAGGCATTATAAACAGATAATACTAATCTTATTTAAAAACCATGAGTGCCACACCAGTGAATATATACAGCTTATGAATAACTTAAAAAGTATTTCCCATTTTAAAAGGCAAACATAGCATACAAAACCTACACTAAACAAAGAAGCTATAATATGAATACATGATTGATGTGTCTAAAATGATATATATACAGTACAGAATTAATGTTAATTATGTGATCAGTACATTTTTCTATATGATTCCCTTCATGCTTCACTTTCCTCAGAAACTGAATTCTGAACTTGCTCTTCAAAAATTGGTACAATCAGGTTATACTTGGACATCAAATTATATTTCATCACAAATTTAGTAAACCAATGACACAAAAATGTTTCATTTTCATATTCATCAAATATCTGCCGGTGATGAAAATAAAGCATGTGAAAATATTCTGTAAATCCTACGGCATACTGATCTTAGGTTTTCTACAGATGATTCCTTTATGCTAACCCTGCTGGGAAAATATTTATTGCTATTCAGAAGACATGCAGCACCATCAAGTGTGTGTCTACTATAGTCTATAGCAGGACACTCTTTTGGAGTTTTATGAGCTGCACAAAGGAAAATCCATTGTTCAGTTGCTGTCATTTGAGTCCAAGTATCTGGATGGCATTCACTCTGAAGTCTGACAGCAAAAATCCATTGTTCAGTTGCTGT